CTATAGTGAAATGTATCTGCAGTTTTCAGATGTTTTAGCAGATGTTTTAGCAAAACCGTTCTTTTCGTAAATTTCTCGCTTGCTTGAAGCTTTAAATTAAAATGATATTGTGTTATATATATTGCAGAACTTTAAAGTACCTATACATTTTACCTACACATTTTTATACGGAAATTAACTGACTTTTGGCATCTATGAAAATGTACTTTATTAACATGTAAATTTAATTATTTCAGGATATTATGTCTTGAAAATTATAGGACGAGCTCTTTTTATAAAGTGATCGGACACTTAAATGAAACTATTATATTCTTTATTGTTTGAGAATTGTGCATTATGAGAACTAAGTTTTTTTTACATTAGAATTATGTTAAAAATACTTTGTTCGTAAAAAATACACGAATGACAAGATTAAAGATATTCTCGCTTACGACGAAACTTGATAGAGAATTATTCGGGATGACAATCAATTAGAAGCATTCTATCATGTTCCACGTTCGATTAGCATGCATACATACGATAACTATGGTTGCTTTCACTTCGACAGTCGACCCAGTTTTGAAGTAGAAATATCTGGATGTTAATTAATTCGACGAACAATAACGGGGATACACTTCGCCGGGTATGCTTTTTAATTATTTTTCGTGCGCCGCAGTCCGAGTTAATGGGAAGAATACAATTTATCTGTATATCAGATACTCAACCCGCGAGGCGCACTTTACCTTCTATCATTTGAACAGACGAACCTATTACATCGGTCTAATTGCTGCATCTACGCCTTACGTCCACGTTATGTAACCGTCAAAAATCAATATCTTATTTCTCACAAATCGTACAAATTGTACAATCTTTAAATAATTATAATAATTAAATTGTGTATTTTACATTATTCCATTGTCTGCTGCATAAAAACACACATGCATCAAACCCATGAAAGCTTTTATAAATTAGCAATTTATTTCAGATGTTAATTACAAATATATTATGAATAAAATAAAAGAAACATTATATTGAATATTATTTATTGCGTGAAGAATATAAAGAATAAGTCAACATTTTAGAGGTATACGACTATCACAGTTTATTGGAAATTCTTAAATATAATTGTGTCACCTTTATTGCATCTTCTACAGCAATATTAATTGCAATCAATGATATTAAGAAACAAATCTCTAACAAAATTGTTGAAGAAATACGAAACTCTATAAGAAAGAATGTAAGAGTAGCAGAACTATAAAAATATTTGAACAGACAAATCTTGCAATTGTGTTTTTCTTATATTTTATATTAATGTTTGATTAAATATTAAACACAGTGTTTAAATGTAGATATTGCAATATAGAAACCTTATCAAAAACACACCTTATTTTACAAGCCACTGCAAACGCGTTTAAATATGTATGTATCTGTTTTACTCGATTAAGTTTTACATAAGTCCTCGATCCTAGCTAGCTCCGATGCACCGTGTTTCATAACTAAGTTCTTCCTGGCAAAACTCGTCTCAAAACTGTTCCACCTCAATTTCCGTTTTCCGGTCTATATGGTCTGTAGGTATGTTTTGGCGTTTTGGCCCATATTTCTGAGAGAACTTCAGACAGCTATTACTACGACGCTGAGCTATCGGCGAGGAAAATTGTGACGAAGAACCCGGAACGTTTCCTATTGTGAATTCCTCGTCTAATTTCGAAAACATTGGACCGTTCTTTCATCTCTGGTTAGAACTGCATCCAACTAAATGTATAAGCTGGATCTAAATCTCGCTATACAAAAGAACTTGAACTTTTATGCTCGATTGCTTGTATGGTTAATCAAATTTTGTTTTCACTCTCTTCCTCGCTTTTTTCCTATGTGTTGCACATTAAAAACCAACATGTGAAAAAGCTGCGGAATATTATCCGATCTGCTCCACGAAATATTTATGCTCGAACGACGGTTACGCTTTCTGATTGCGATTCGCAGCGAGTGTGCGCGAGGATATTGCGACGAGACCCTTGGCAGGACAGATGTCGATGTTCACGCGCTGTCTCGTTCCTCTCCGGAGGAAGGGTGCACGAAATAAAGAAAGGGAGAAAACGGCGCGACAAAGCCATTCGGGTTCTCTGATCGGTCAATAACGATTTCCCGGGAATATAAATGTCTCCGCGAGCAGCCAACCGACGCCGTTCAATTCGGAGTAGGTCCCGCTTTGCCTTTTAATCTTGTAGCTTCGCCTCTTTTAATCTCGTTCCAACGACCTGCCCCTTTCCCTCCCTCCTCCCCTGTCTCCCCCCCTCCCCCCAACCTCTCCATAACTAACCTGTGCAATTTCTCCTTTCGCTCGTGTCCGTCGATCTAACCGGATATCCGCGATGGACGCTCTATGCGCTCTACGTAGGATCACATACCAGTGAACACGACATACAGCCAAGTCAGGATTATATTTCGCCGATACACGCGACATTTGAATCGATGCTTTATGATTATTTTCGTATGTACGAAAACTTCTCTCTCTTTTTCTCTCTGCCGCCGCTATTTGTTAAAAAATTATAACAGAAAAACGTATAACGGATTTTTTGTTTATTTGTAGAGTAAAATTTCTATGTAATTTCAAATTTTAGAGAAACAAAAAATTAAAAATACAATATTTTGTGTACAAGAAATAAATATATTGTAACTAAATATAATTAAATTGACTAAATGAACATAATGTGTACGTTTACGAATTTTTTTAATAGAAAAAGTATTTATAATAAAATTTAATAACATTAATACACTTTTTGATACGAAATTTGTATGATTATAAATACGATTCAATTTTACTTGAAAATAAATTTTCCGCGTACACAATTTATATAAACATTTTTATTACATTTGATTCAATAAACGAAATACATTTTTAAAATAAGTGCGCCATGTGTTATAAAATACTTTACATTTCTGTATATGACGACATTAGATTTTGCTATGCAGGAATTATATGTTTCTGATGATCTTTCCAATTTTCTCTTGCATTTTCAACGAAACAAAGAAAATCTTGCATGATATTAAAATACGTAATAAAAATGAAAAATTGAATGCATCAATATAGACCTTTTTCTCTTGTGCTCGCCAAACGTTTCTGCTTTATCCGCAAGAACATCGACTTTGGAAATACCGATAAGTATATATGTACACATAGAGATAATGCCTTCTCATATGAAATTACATGCATATCGAAGCATGTTCAATCTGCGTGCTCTGTCTTTATATACACGTGCATTATGATTGATTATTCGGCAAAATTGTTCCAACATTTTTAATATACTTTATAATAACATTCTTAAATAAAGTTAGCTGGTATTTCTATATTTATGTGTTACAAAAATTAAATATACACTACCATTCATAATTATTCGAACGATAGATATTTTACACTTTACTCCGATTTTAAAAAAGCTAAGTAAGTACTCCATATTGTCGTTAACACAACAGATAATATTTTTTTAGAATAATTGACGCTGTTCTTTTATTCTATATTGATTGTAATTCTATTTTAAATTTAAATTGTTGGCACAATATTCGTCGAACTATCTCCAATTATCCTAGATTCGATATTATGTATTACTGGGTATTTCCTTTTTTTTTATTTCATATTTCTACTACAATCTATTGTAATTATATGAGTCACTTTTATTTTTATGATATATATTTATTATGTTATCATGAAAAATACTATATTTCATTGTTTTAGAAAGCATAAACAAAAAAACCACTTTGACCAATTGATTCTCTACTCTGATTCTAACGATCTCGATTTCGACTGACCGACTAACTTTATTTATTTAAGATGGAACAATTTTGCCTATTAATTAAAATTAATCATGATAAAAATATGCGGAGACAGCTCCCGCGGACTGAAAGACATTTATGTCCCGGTGGGTAAATGAATATAATTAACAAGTTAAATAAGATAAATGCAGGTAATATCAAACGACAAAAATGAACTTGTTTAATAGTCAACAATTACCATTAAAAAATTGCAATTAGTATGTAGTATCAATAATTAATAAATATATTCCTATTCATATCACTCTTTAACAAATTCATGAATTCATGCAGAGATTATCGTGCTTTCTCATTAATGATATATCTAATATTTAAATATATTAATATACTATAAAATATATTAATAATAACAATATTTAAATTTTACCTATCGAATATTCAAACGTTGTGTAAAAACCTTTTTAGTATTATTTCCTTGAAATTGCGCTCCCTTTAATCAACCCTTTTTTAATTCTATTACGTTTTGTTCTACTATTTTAATGCCCCTATAACTGGCCTTACGTGAAATCGGGGATGACAAAAAGTTGTTTTTACATTATTAAGAGAGATCGCCGCGCATGCGTTTAATACGTCTTATAACAAGTGCAACAATTATTCATGCACAAAATGCACGTGATTATTCTCTAGCGCAAATGAGGTAGCAGCTTTGAAATGAGGTAATGTACGTAATTTTAACGAATAAGCGGCCACAATGAACCTAATAAACTGAAGTTCCGCGATTTGCTCAGCGGGACGTGTAATGTATGCAACGAAGTGGAAAGTTTTCATTAGCTCTCTGAAGCTTCAATTTATTGGGAAAGATAACTTAATAATAATAGATAAATTGATATATATATATATATATATATATATATTCAATGTGAAAAAGTTAAATGAAATATGTAAAATTAATAATGCGATATTTTATATGAAACATCATATCATTGACAAAACAGTCAATATATTAATATATTGTATAGATTATTGCTAAACGAAAATTATTTTACAATGATTATTCACAGAGAATTGATGAGAAAATATTTTACAAATATTTCGCAGTAACGCCTCTTTCGTGTCTACCTTATAATTTAAACAGCGACCAAAGACGATACTTTTTTTTGGGGAGGTGGGGAGATATTGAGAACCCCTTCGACAACGAACGATCGGTCTCCAAAAGCCGATCTACTGCCGAGACCACTCCTCTCGCTCTCGGGGCAACTTCGCGTTGGTGGTGCTTCAGGATATCTACGGCGAAAACGCTGAAAGATTCGCTGCCGTAACAGTCGGACCGGGCGCATAAATCAGCTGCACAGACTCGTGCGGGAGAGGTGACGACGCCGGCAGGCCACCGCGTCAATAAAATGCAAAGACGGAGAAATAAAGTTAAAGATAAGCCGCCCACGGACCCACGCCGAGAGTACTTGGACGCCGAGTCCAGCGATGAAGAGGAAAGGCGCAGTAAGATTTACGAGAAAAATATTAAACGCGCCCACTCTTCTCCGTTTCAACTTTCCCGATTTTCCGCTCCTTTCCCGCGGCAAACTCGCTTCTACGCCCCGCCTGTCCTATTTTCGACACTTTCCGGGAGCCCCCTCGTCGTTTTACCAACCTCTGTTTCGTACGACCTCGTCGTCGCGCGCGCGCGCATACACATCCTCGTAATTCCGCCATTGTGAATCCGAAGGCACCGCAGAATCAATCAAGCGACGAGCAACACATCCGTGAAAGGAATATTAAATACTTTCGCTTTTCAACGAGGGTTTTCCCACAGATCCGCGCTCTACTTCGATCCTCTCTCCGGTCTTTTCCATCAAATACCGCAATTTCCAATTTCCACAAATCGCGACACGCTTATCCCATTTAACCGCTCCGTGCGCGAATATATCTGCGATTGATACGCGCGCGTGCGACTGATAAATTTTTGAATACTTCATTACGGGCGCGGCGGCTGATTAATTAAGCAGGCTGGGATTTATTTAATTCATTTTCTAGTTTGCGCGAGAGTCGTTACGGCGGACATAATTTCCTCGATACTTGCGCAAATATTAACAAGGCAACAATAACAACGCGGCCACGTTAGCCGTATAATGTGGCTAATTTGAAGCAAGTTCCCCTGCCCGACAGGGACGCGCGCGAATTTGGACGCGGATTCAGGACGATTGCCGCGTCCAATTTGCAATTACAATGGCTGCTTCGGGTGCCCCCGCGGGGCGCGTTTGGCGCAACCATAAATTCCACGATAACTCTAAAGACGAAATAAACGTAACGGATTGCGTATATGATTGCGCGCAAGCGAGTCGAGAGTGCTTGGCATTAACGAGCCGAATCTCAATTGCAATTTCAACAATTTCAATAATTATGACATATCCGCACATAAGCCGGCCACTCGCAACGATTAATCGGTCATTCGCAGGTTCCGCGCTGTTGCCCGGTTCCTAATTTGTCCCCGAGATTACGGCAATTTACCCTCCGCGACCTCGATCGTATACCCCGGCCCGCTCACTGGAAGATGAACCTAATTCGTCCTCTCGCGAGTTCTCATGCTACTTGCACGATCCGAAAGTAGGTGAACTAGATAAACCGATAATCTATATGCAAAAGCTACCTGCGTCTATCCGGCCCTCCCCTCTCCCCCCTTCCCCTCGCTGAACGCAAACTAACGTTATTACTCAAAGCCTATTCTTCCTATTCGGACACGGTGGGAGATCTACAAATCCTTAATCCGCAAACAATTAACGTCACGTTACGTACGGATGATCGAGGACGGCGATTTCATTGGTCGGTTGCGGTAAAATGCTCCGTCTGATTTCGCATTAATTCACGGAGCCGATTTCAATTATTCGTACGACAAAGTGACCGTATACTTTGACGGTCCATTAAAAAGACGAGAAATTGCGAGAATTTTCATGATGAGAATCTTCATTATTCTACCTCATCGTACACGGAGAGAATTTTTTTTTAAATTTACTCTGAAAATTTTGTTAATCGTGGAACGACGTAGTATTTCGACAAATTTTACTGTACATTACAATACATTTTATTGTGCACTGCAATAAATATATTGTAGTACTTATATATTAAAAAAAAAAATAGTGAAAATCATACAAAATTCGTTGAAATACTACGTTGTCCTGCGATTAACATAATTTTCAGGGTAAATTTTAAAATAAAACTCTCCGTGTATCTTCGTTTTTAAAAAAATTCGATATATTTATAACATTTCACGCATAGGTCGGATATGCATTTTCCTTATACTTTCGTCATTCTCAATGTTCGTAAGGCAAACAACCATTTTAATATTAAAATAACGCAAAAGATATATTAATTATCTATTAATTTCTGTTGTTAATTTGAATCGTAAGATTCTATATAAATCTACACGAAAAGAACAATTTTGGTAAAAGATCTAAAAATTTTGCTGGATACTGATCTGAAAATAATTCTTGTTGGACCATCAAAGTAATTTTATTGGAAAGTCAAACTTGTTATCAAGCTAGAATATTAAAATGTTTTACAGTAATGCTTATTATTTTTGAGTTTCTAACAAAAAATTATTTTCAGATTCCAAATTTTTTGACCTTCCAGCAAAATCTTTTCGTGTATCTTCCTCCCACTTCATGCCAAATAACTCTTAATAATTTTCGAATAATAACGATCTTTGAGAGAAGCATATATACGTGAGAACTGATAAGTCGTTGCATGTCGCCAAAGGAAGACATCGCCGTATCTGCATAATGTCCGCCATCATAGCGGGATAAATTGCCCCAACGTGGCCTACGGTAGCGTCTCGATCGCGACGCGACGTGTTTCCTCTTCCGTCGATTTACTAGCTACTCGCGATTTATAGTTCCTATTAGATTGCCAAGAGAGCGAAGGCATGGGTGGCGGAATGGGCGGCGGCGATGGCCGCCCAGCGAGACGGGGACCGAGAGACGCGGGAGAGAAGGCCTGAGGAATGATATCGGGAACGAACGAGAGACCCTCTTTGGAACGAATGTCTTCTATTTAACCCAGGCTGGCGGATTTAGGAGGGCGCATCGCGCCGTTCCAATTGACGACTAACGAACGGCCGGCGCGTCCCGTGGAATTTGTTTCCTCTTTCCAGTGTCCTCTCTTATATTAGTTACGAGGTCGCCTTTTCCCGACAATAAATGTCGTCGCGATGCACGGGGGAGATCGGATCGCGTTTTCCGAATCCACTCGTCGCGGTGTAACCGCGGCATCGCCCGCGATCTCGACAGTAAATGTCGTCGCGATCGACGGCGGAGATTACATATATCGAGCGGGATGACGTTGTTGCAGGTGAAGAAGAAGTGGCTATAACGGAAGAGCTAGTTCCGCTATACGAGGAGGATGAATTAAATGCATTGGTAAGCTCGAGCGTTTTTTTTCTTAGAGAGATATTTTACAATTTAAATTGATCTAAAACAAGCTATATAATTTTAAAATTATAGTTCTGGTACGTTTTAAAAATGTTTATGACTAGATTTTCACAATGATATTTATTCTAACATTTATTTCACAAAAAAAACGTGCATAAATACATGTGGTATCCTTTAATTACAATAATTATAAGCAAACAATTACATTTATATATGATTACATTAAAAGCAATTTCATTTGCATTCTACAATTAAGGCAATATACTTCTATAGAATCACGCGATGTCGTTGAAAAATGAAAATCAATTTTGTTGCATTTGGACTGGAAGTGAGTCATTCAGAAAAACTTCGCTGCCTTTTCTCAGATTCAGTGTGTTAAGGACATGACGACGCTGAGCGGTCTGACGGACGACGATTGGACGTGGAAATGCGACATGGACGTCCGCGAGTTCTTCCTCGAACCGAGCATTCCGGTCCTCTGCATTTATCACGTGAACGGCAGTCTGACCACAGAATTTTCATTTCCTACGATGCCCGTGCACGAGCTAACCTACTTCGTGAGACAGCCCAACGAGATTCTCCGCCCGGAGAACTTTCGCGAGCGCATTCTCTTCGGGTCGATGAACGACAAGGTGGAGAGTCATATACTGGACGTCATTCGGAACGTGTTCGCGCCGATCTTCTTCGCAATCGAAACCTGGCCCGACAGTATCCTTCGCTATACTGCCCTTCCTCTCCTATTCCCCGCCCCTTTCTCCCCCCCCCCCTCGTTATCGCATTTCCCGTCAAAGCACCCAATTAATTCGCGTAACTAACGCGGAAAGTTTCGCGAGGTACCGGACCAAACGGCACGGCCGAATTCGCGGTACGCGGCGCGGTCGACTGTGTAACGATAGGCCAGCGGTAAGAGTTGGCGAAGTTTCTTCATTTTTTTCTCCCTCGTTCCCTGTTTTTTTTTTTTCATTTCGTCTCCATAGTAAATAATGTACGTGTACAGATCGCGAGTTACGGAACTTTAATTGGGTCCAGACACGATATCCCGTCGGCCGTCTCGGTGGGCTCCCCGAGTGACCCACTTGAGGTTGGGCTTCGCCGTGCAATGTAAATTCTGTTTAACTTTCAAATCCCGCTGCGCGCGCGCGCGCGCGCGCGAGCGGAGCGTCCGCGACCGGTTGATTTTGTAGTGGGTGGTGATTTAAAGTTTTTTCGCGGATTTAAATGTACGTTTAAAAAGCTTCACCCGGCGAAGGACGCCCAGGGGAGACATCCGCGCGTTTTATCTCTCGCTTCGAATCCATGATTCAATCCGATATATCTGCTCTGATATATGATCGATTTTCGCGATGCAATTTCAATCCAATCGAGCCAATTGGGTTTTTCGAACATTCTGCCGTAGTCAATTTTATTGCGCAAATCCTAGTCTTCCTGTTTCTCGCTGGGTATAACATGTGTTAATGTGTAGTTAGTGCGTTTCTATTTTCTAAATTTATATCGCGTACTATATCCAATTTCGTATCAATCGTAATTTAATGCTTCTTTGATTACTTTAACGTTTTTAATTGCTCACTTGGATTTTTAGTATCTCTTTTTTGTTCAGACAGTAACTGATATCCACACGGAAAGAACGATTTTGTTGAAAGGTCTAAAAAAAGGTCTTTTGCTGAAAACAGATCTGAAAATAATTTTTTGTTGAATCGTCAAAATAATTTGTTGAAATGTTAAAACTGATAAGTATTGCTATAAAATATTTTGCTATTCTAGCAATCATTTTGACTTTTGCACAAAATTATTTTGATTATTGAACAGAAATTATTTTCAGATCTGGATTCAGCAAAATTGTTCTTTCCGTGCACTGTCTTCGATCAATCGGTGTGTGATAGGACTAATAGGCAATGAAAACTTCGTGATCCAGCCGTAATTTAGGTGTCAATCGTGTCCGGCTACCGCCGAATAATCCCGCATGCACCGGAGACGATCGATGAGTGGCTGTAGTTTCAATCGACAGCGGTGACAAAGGGGGCCACGTCGGGCCGGTCTCACAATGCCAAGGGCGATCATCGCGATCGTCCGTAGTTGCTCCGGCTTAAGGTCATAACAATCTAACGTGATGACATTACCAAGTGAATTTCCAACTTTAGCGCTGCAATCCCGTTACCGCAACGCACGACACAAAGTTCCGGTCCGCAGGGGGGTGCAGAACGGGACAGGACGGGACGGGACG